GTTAGCCGCCGACGCCAGCAGCGGCAAGACGTGGCCCGGGGAGCTCCTCCCCACGCTGGCATGGGCTTGCTGAGCAGCTGGGGCTGACCCTGCCTCAGTTTCCCAAAATAGGGCTTGCACATGACCACCGCTCGAGGAGGGCGAGCATTCTTTACAGGGACGTGCGATAGCTCCGGGCCCCAGACAAGGACTCGGTAGCTCCTTCTCCGTCCCAACCTCTTCCTCCTGGGATTTGTTTGTTTTGATTTCTCTCTCCTTTTTTTTCTAGCAGGGCTTGTTCTCTTCCATGCCTCCGCACAGGGACTTTTCCCTGTGTCCGTGAGCAATTCCCCCTTTTCTTTCATTTTTTCCATGCTAAGGAGCGGGACCGCGGATCCTGGGCAGCGCCCAGGAGCTTGCCCCCAAATACTGCTTGTGGGATCCACTTCTTCCTTCCTCCCCCAAAACTACCGGGAGAGAGAGACTGAGACCGAGTTGCGCAAATGCGCAGCAATGTGCCCTGTTACCCGCTAATCCCAGCCTTGCTGCAATTCCTCCTGTTGACCCGCCGTCCCCCGTCCGCTTAATTAATCCCGGTGTCCGGGTGGTTTTGTGCTCGGCTCCATCTAGGGACCTCCTGGGTGCTTCCCGGCTGTCTCCTCCCGGCTCCTCACCCCCGTACCGGGCCGACACACCGCTTCACCCTACAGAAATCCATCCCTTTTGGAAAAACTCCTGGTGCAAGCATTGCAAACATCGAGTATATTCAATATCTGTTTTCTTCCGTGGCTCCTTCCCAGCAAAGGTCAGGTAATACCCACCCCACGGGCGCAGCATCCTGGAAGATGAGCGTCATCTTGCAGCAGCTTTTGTTGTACGAATAACCCCCGCGATGCTCGTCCGCCTCTGCTGAGCATCCACCCGGGTCTCCTTTGCATCACGGCTTCTCAGGTGTCTCCCTCATTAAATATCCGGGTGCTGGATAATTTTCCACTGCAGGTATCTCCTGTGCATTCTTCCAGGCTGAATCCGGCACCTTTTCTTCTCCCAGTTTCGAAAGGCTCTGTAAATCCTGCCCGGGCGGCTCTGCTGTCATGATGGATTATGTCAGCCCTTGAGTTGGCAGCCAGCACATTTTAAATACCTCGTGCTTCTCAGCCAGACGGATTTTCTGCATATCTCCCATCTTAAAAGTACCACGTTAAAAAAAAAACAAAAAGCACATTCCCATTCTTTGCTTGCCTCGGAGGAGTTCAAAGGGAAGGCGATGGGTTTCAACGCTTCCAGAATTTGTTTCTAGACATTTATACATAACAAACCCCTCCTTCACCCCAAGCTGGCTCTTGCTGTTTAATGCACAGAGCCGCTTTCACGCTGACCGCGGGCTCAGAGATGTCCCCAAGATCTCTGCGAGCTCATCCAGCGTGGTGCCCCATCCGACATCTCCTGTATTCCTCCGGCTTTAGTGGGAATTAATGAGCAGGAGCAGAAAGCTCGGGAGCCGCTTCCAGGCTTTATTCCAGCAGTAGAGGCTGAAGGAGCCGGTGGGGGATACTGAAAGCCCGGGGTCCCTCCTTGAGGATGGCAAAGGGCTGTCCTGGGGGAGCGCTGGGAGCCGGGTCCCAGCCCCGGGTGCTGGTGGGATGGAGGGGGCCAGGGCCAGGGTTAGGGTCCGTCCTGACGGAGCCTTGGATTGGGACCGGGCTCTCACAGCAGCAGCCCAAGGCAGGAGGAGGTGAACGGTGATGGAGTCTGACAGCGAGCGAGGCCAGCGAAGGTGGGGGAGAGATCCTGGGGGGAGCGGCAGCTCCCGGCCGGG